TCCTTTTCGCTGACTTGGAAAAGATCTTTATCCCTTGGATCAGAAAGAAGCTATCACATAGTTATTCCCCTCCCCCCTCCCCCACATACCGTGTGTTCTGGAGCACCTGATTTATTAAAAGTAGTGTCAGCCCTGTTTGAAATATAAATCTATTTTAAATCCAAACCTGTGATAGATCCTGAATATCATTTAGACAGCCTTTTATCAGCAGATTAAAAATCAGTGTTTTCAACAAAGTATTTTGATGTGAAATACTGTGAAAGCAAAGGTGACCTGGTTTTGATGTTTTCTTCATTATCTAATTATTGGTATCCATTTCACCTGGACATATCCAAATGATAAGAATGTTTACAAAACTTACGAGGTGAGTCTTATAAAAAATAATGTGCACATAATAATAGAACCTGGAAATACTGATGATGTCTTTTCAGTGAATCAAACCCTTTTGATTATTTCAGGTGGGATAGAGGTTAAAGTTTATTCTGTAGAAATCAGACACACAAATCTTTGGAGGTAACGTCTGACCTACAAATGTATAGAGATTGACAGGAATGCTGCTTTAATGCATGTGTTCACTGCAATTTTGCACAGAATATTGAACAATGAATTACTGGTGAGGACGGTCACCATCAACTTTTTGTTATGGACATTTCCCTCATTTGCAGACTTCCTGACAACCCTGAGCAACTTTAATTCAAAAGGCTAAGCAGCATCACGTCTTGTAACCCTGTTAAAATAGTCAATTGAGAAGGCTATTTTCCTGTGTGAATTTTTTCCTGATTCTATTTGCTCTGATCACTAAACTTACTTGCATAGGTTATACAATTAAAATATGTGTGTGATCTGACAGAACACTAGGGAACATCCACGGTGATGCTCCTTCATTTTGTGATTTGATGACATCATAAAGGAGAAAAGTAGAAAATTTAATGGTTAAAAAAATTTATAAGTTTCTGATAATATGATAAGGCAATTTCTTGTGAAACAGAAGGTTTAAGAGCCCTATGTCAACTCTGTAACTCTTAGAGAAAGGACCGTGACATGGGGGTCCTGATGATCTCATGATATGTATAAACAGCTGTCATTAAAGTAGATTTTACCAAGGCGAGGACAACAACTCATGTAACAGCAGTGAGAAATATGAAGCTGCACCAAGGTGTACCCTTTGAAAAGTGTCGTATGTAAAATAAGTGAGGTCTTTCATTATTTATCATTACTATAAAAATGTGATTAAACATACATTTTCTTCAATTCAGATGCTAGCATATCCCTTTCATAGTCATTTTATCAGGCCACATGCATATGTAAGTGATGAATTTTGTAGGAGTTTAAAGCTATTTTAAACTATGTCTCTTTTTGTTCCTGTAGTAAATATAAAATGAATCCTTTTTCTTATCTTAGGAAATGTACATTTAATAGAATTATTTTTAAAAATGAATCCTTCTAGGTAGCCCGTCAGTTTAAGCAATGTCAGCTGAATCTTAGGATTTTGTCATATCCTAGAATCATGGATTCTAGTGACATTATTAAATGTCACTTAATGATATGAATGCATTTAAAAGAATGAAATATTAAGACATACAATTTTGCCATGTGATCTAATATAAATAGTGCCAGAGATCTGACCTATTTTCAAACAATGTTTGCATGATTCTTGGCTTGTAAAAATAAAACACAGCCCACACACCTGATGCAAATTGTTACCTGCAAAATAATGTGCCGGTTCCATAGACCCTGAGAGGCCAGTTGCCTCTTTGCTGGTTTATTTTATTTCTAGTTCCATTTGCTACAGGTGTTTACCATATTTCCAGAGTAAAGAAGTAAGCCATCTAAGATTACATCTGTCTCAAATGAAATAAAGCATGTGACATTGAGATAATTTTGTAGGATGTTGCAAGATATTTTCTTAGGGACTGAGCATGGAGGTACATGCCTGTAATCTCAGCTATGAAAAGCATAGGTAGGAGAATCATGGCCCAAAGCTGGCCCTGAGCAAAAGTGAGACTTTATCTGAAAAATGACTGAAGCAAAGAGTTGGGGGAGTGACTCAAATTTGCAGCACTTACGTGTAAATCCAGAATCCTTTTTTCCAGAGGCAATGACATTACAAAAGAAAAAAAAAAAAGAGCACTTCCCCAAGCAGCCAACCCCATTTGGGGCAATACCAACAATGTCTGGGCACCTCAGGGCTGGGGGGTTGGGGGTTGGGGGAGGCACAGCTCATGATGTCCCACTATGGTGCCAGTTTGTTGAGTGTTTTGTCCCCACTATGGAGGACTTGTCCACAAGCAACTGCTCAGGCTCCCGAGGATGTGAGGGGCCTCTGTGGGGTTCCCACATGTGTGAACTCTGTAGGAAATCCCTGTGAAGTCCCTGAGGAATGCCTCTGTGTGAGGTCCCTGGATGAGGTGTCTGTGGGAGGACTTTGGGGGAGGTCTCTTTCTCTGTGAGAAGTTCCTGTGAGAGAGCTCTCTGCTGGGTTTCTGTGTTAGGGCCTGTGGGGAAACATGAAATTCCTGCGAGAGGTCTCTGTGTAAGGTCTGCAGGAGAGATCTCTGCAGGACAGGGGAAAGTCTGTGTGTGGGGTCTGTCTATGAGGGCTCTGGCCAGGGTCTCTCTGTTTGGAGCAATGCTCTGTGGTGGGTCTCTATAGGGAGGGCTCTATGGGCAATGTCTGCCTGAGGTCTCTGTGGAAAGTCTACTGGTGGGAGCACCCTGTGGGAGGGCCCCGTGGGATCTCTTGGGAAGTCTCTGTGTAAGGAGCCTGAGGGAATTCTTTGTGTGGACTTTCTGTGACATGACTTTGGATTTGCAAGGTCACTGTGAGGCATAGGAAGTCTCTGCATGTTGACTGGAAGGTCTCTGGGAGGTTTTTGTGTGTTGGCCAAGGGATGTCTGTATGTTGATTGAGAGATCTCTGCAGGAGGTCTCTGCATGGACTGGAAGGTCTCTGTGGGTTGTTTCTCTGTGTGCTGACTTGGGGGGGGGTCTCTGTGGGAGGAGGAAGGAAAGTGTGACTTCTGGGGGAGGTCTTTGTGGGAGTTCTGTGGGAGACTCAGAGGTCTCTGTGCAGTGTCTGTGGGGTCTCTTTGGAGGTCCTTTGTGAGATGTCTACCTGTGTGAGGGGTCTGTGAGGATCTCCTTGGGTTAACATGTGAGTTGTGAGATTCCTGTGGCACTTCTCAGTGGGAGATTTCAGTATATAAAACACACCATGGCAGTGAGAGGTCTCTGTATGAGACCTCTCTGGAAGGCCTGTGTGGAGTCTTCATTGCTGGCCTTACTGCATCTTATGAAAGACTGAGCGCTCAGCAGAAGGGCAAAGGGACTTTGTCCTTCCTGTTTTCTGGCTAGTCCGTCACCATAGCCTGTTTATGGGTCTTTTTCTGGCAGGAGCCATGGGTTTGTGTGCAGTTCTTCCATGTTCCACATCTGCCTCTTGGTGTCGTGAGAGAAGCCAGCAGCAGCCAGCCATGGGCCCTCCTGAGGTCAGAGTACCAATGCTTTGCCATCCTCTCCTTAGCTTCCAAGGACTTGGGGCCCTTCTTTGCTCCTGGTCCCAGCTTCTCCTGCCAGTCTGAACTCCTCTCACCGTTGGGGCTATTTCAGAGGCTGACTTAGTCATCCAAGTCCCAGGAGCAGGAACTGGCTCCAGGAGAAGCCTTTGACACCAGTATCCAGACCCCTGCAGCCTGTGCTCACTCTACCCTTCACCCAGATACTGGCACAGACCCACATGTGGGCAGCAGGGCACATTCCCATTGTCACTCAGATCTGTAGTACCTGGGTTGGATCTCCAGCACCACAGGCAACAAACAAAATAATCTCCCTAGTTTGCCTCACTTTCTCCATAGTGTGGTCCCTGTGTCAGAGCTAGGTCTGGGATCTGGAGTCTGGAGCAAGAGGGACTCTGGAGGAGGGCGAGGATGAGCCACTTGGCCCCCATCTTCCTCATAAGGCTTGTGGATGGCAGGGACACCTCAATGGCTCCCTGTTCGCCATGCCATTTATGGTGGCCTCACTCCACTCCACCTCTTCCTTGCCTCCAACTTTTCAATTCTCCCACATCCCAACCTCAGTCCACAGCACCTGATGGTCAGGTTACTGCACACACAGTCACACCCCACTTCCATTCACCCAGGAGTTGAGATAGATGGAGACAGACCAAGGTAGGTGAGCTGTGAGCAGGGAAGAAGTAGACATTTTGGGTGGACATGGCTCTCAAGAGCTTCCCTCAACATCACCATCTCCACAGCCACCCCATAGAGCTGGAAGTTCTGTCCTCACTGCTGCTGTAGGACATGAGAAAGGCAGAGGCAATAGGGCAGTGACTTTCACTTTTTCATTAAGGTGCAACTGAAAGGGCCCATGAGCATCCCAGATTTACCAGGGAGAGAAAGGACTTCCCAGGAGCAGGTATTAACTGTTCCCCACCAAGAGAGCCAAGTGAAGGGGTTCTCCCACTTCTAAACTTAGGGTCCAGCAGTGCTCAACAAAACTTCCACCCATTTTGTGACATTGGAAGCTACTTGACTGTGACTCTTCTTGGAACCTATGGAATTTTCAGCCCTAAGATGCCTCTGTAAACCTGGTCCCTACTGCTATGTGAGTTTAAGGTAGAGAGAAAGCAATGGAAAGATGGGCTGACCCAGATCCTGGATGAGCTCTTCATTGATGCTCCTCATCTTGTTTTTTGTTTGTTTGTTTGTTTCTGTGAGGATGGTATGATGGGAACTAAGGGTCAATGAAGAATATCTGAATGGAGGAGGGCTTGCAACTCCTCTCTATCAACCTCCTGCCATGCCCCATCTCTTCTGGAAGTCAAAGCCCAACACCAAGCATGGAACACACAGAAGTCATTACCCTCTTAGAAAAACATGTATATTGGGTTACATTAAATATCTTGGATGAGAAAGACAATTTTTCTCTTTTCTCTTGGACTAAATTTTTTCCTGGTGACATGTTTTCCTACTCAGAAAGACCGTAGAGGTACTTTCTGGTTAATCAGGTAAGACATCTCTCCGAAGAAGACAGTGCCTTGGGCAGTGGTGATAGTGGCTCGAAGCCCCTGACACTGTAGGCCCCTGATGGGAGGGACACCTTGGTGACACAGACTTGTTGTGGGACATGAGGTGAAGGGTATGCTGTGGGCCCTGGTGTTCGTTGCTAAATTGTACATTTTTCAAGGACTGTGGGTCACTAGCATTCGTTTCCTGGTTAGGAGACCTCCGGTACTTGGGGGTGGGTATGTAACTGGACATTCTTCTTTGTTCTGGGTAGAAGGGAGGCCTGTGGCAGGGGGACATCTGAGAGTCATGAGGATGCTCTTTGTGCTGGTTTGCCTTCGAGCCACATAGTTTATGCTGAAGCACCATTTTCCTTTCCAACATCTGTCCAACGGTTGTCATGAGCTTCTGTGCTTCAGTCACATTACTGTCCACATGTGGACTGGTTTTCACTTTTCTTTGGCTCTGGGCAGTGGTAGATGTAGGCTTGTATGTTTCTGGGTGCTCTTCTTGCTCTTTGAGTGCTTTTTTGGAGAAGATCCTGTGAAGAACACACTTCATGGCTCTTTGGAAGGACCTTTCTAGACAAAACTGTTTGTTTTTTGGAAGGGGTTGAGGGCCCCCTTCAAAAGTGTCTTCTGTTTCTCTGCCTTGGGTGAGCTTGGAGGTCCTCAATTCTTCACACATTTCTCTATGACTTCTTGGGCTCCTCCTCCTTGCATCCTCCCCATTGTAAGTAGGGGCAAACATCTTGCTTTGGCTCCTCCATGTGTTCCATGTGTGCTTCTGCTGCCCCAGGTCACCCCATACCTGTGAAGCCAAACTGTCTGTGGAAGAGGCCGGAAGGAACATCTCAGTGGTACAGACATCAAAGTAGTTCACTGGCTTCATCTCCACTCTGTGTTGAAACTCATTAGCATCTTGTGCCTGGAGGTATGGCTCTGCTAGATCTTGGGCAACGGATGCTGTAGGCAGTGAAGAGACATCTAGGCTGCCTTTCCAAGTCCCCAGGACAGTCCTACTCTGACAGGTTCTGCCCACATGACCGTACATAGAAGTCTGAGAAGATTGGCTGCTCACCAGTCTGGTAGGAGGAGCCTCTGAGAACCTATAGTCCTCCCAGGATGGAGTCTGTGTCAGGGACCTCTTGATTTCCTTATATGAAGGTGAAAACACAAGGTATGGCTTCTCCATGGGGGGCACAGACTCATTAATCATCACCTTCTCTCTTGAGCATGTCTGAGGTGGTTTTCCCAGGAACTTGGCAACCTCAACTTTTGAGCTGGCCCCAGGTACATAGGTGGCTGAGGAGGTACAGCCATACTGTGGCAGGGACATGGGTTGAGGTGTTTTTAACTTAAAGAGATTAACGGGCTTGAGTGCTTTGAGGGGTAGGCCCCACTTATGCTTCACCCACAACCTTGAGACATGTGTCTCTAGGGTCTGTTGAGTGTCTGGATCAAGGAAGGAAAGGCTCTGGGTGGTCCTCACACAGTTTTCCCAGCTCTTTGAGGATGCCAGATCTCTGCTTTCTATGTGGGTTTCAGACATGGAAAAATCGTCCCCCACAAAAAGCCAGGATTCACGCACACTCAAAGGGACTAGACCCTTGTTGATCTCCTCTGACTGAATGCCCACATGGGCTTTAAGGGTATTTTCAGGTGGATTCTTGTGTATGCTTCTTGATAAGTCATTTCTTGAGTCACTCTTCAATGAGGACTTCATCAGGTCTCTCTCTGTCTCTGTAGTCACCCTCAGAGCCTTCACTGGAGAACTTTCCAGGTCCTTGGGTACATTCTTTGGGACCTTTCCTAGAAAATGCCCCAAATTCTTGCCCGCATCCTTCTTTAGATGGAACCTCACCTTCTGTCCATCCTTGCTGGGTTCACATGTAGATACAGAGGGCTGTGAGGGGCCAGGTTTGCCACTTTCCTGACATGTCCTTGTTAGCTCCTCCCGAAGCTGCATCAGCTCCAGAGACTCTTGGATTCTGCGGGGCAGGTCCCATCGGTGTTGGATGAGCCACTTTTGAATGTGTTCCTCCAGTTGCTCCCGGAGCTCAGGGCTAATTGGAAGATTCTCAGGAAGGATGGAGACTGCCCAGTGGTCTTGAGAAAGGGTGGGAGTAAAGAGACTGTAGACTTCCTGAGATCTTTGGCCCACCGAGGGAAAAGCCCACTCACTTTCTAGTTGTTTCCTCAAGGGCCTTTCTGGGCGTTGAATTTCAGTTGGGATGGGAGATTGTGGCTTAATTTGGGATGTAGGGCAGGATTCTCCACTGTCCCTAACATGGGGTAGAGAAGAAGGTAGCAGGGCTGGGAGAGAGGATTGGAGATGAGCCGGACTCTGAATCTGACCCAGAAATGGGGGCTGGAATTGAGACATAGATAGAACCAGGGGCGGGGGGTGGGGTTCCAGATGAGACAGGGGATAGGCCTGGGAAAGCAGTGGAGACATTTTATCCTGCAACTGCACTGGGCAAACATTGGAGAGACCATTGAATAAGAAGAAGGGAGACTGCAGAGAATTCTGGGAGATCCAGGCAGCAGCCACCAAGGATTCACTGTGCAGAGAGGGGAGACCCCAGAAAAGCTGGTTATATTTCTGCTGAAAATGGTCCCCCAAGATCTTGGGATATGAGAGCTTCTGAGGACCCAGCAGCTGTTCTGATTTATCTTTCATGTCCCAGAAGGGTTGTGGGGTTGTGTTGTCCTGCTCAGCACTCAGTGACTTCAACATATTCCCTAGAGAATTGAAGTAGTATCCTGGGTTCATTTGTTCTAGAAATGATTCATCTTTGTCTTTTTCCTCTGGATTTTCCAGTCTATCTCCAGAAGCTGGAAATTAGGAGACTGGGTTATGGTGGGGAAGGCATGGGGACTTTAGAGGAGGCTGAATGGAATGCCCTCTTAGAAAAGACCATATGAGATTACATTTCAGAGCCTATTCATGCACCAAAGACTAGGATTATACAACCGCTGACAACAGTGGCTGCAAAGATCATGGATGGGCAGTGCTTTCTCATTTACAAGTTGTTTTCACAACCATCACCCACCACGGTCTTTAAAACTCTCCAAATCCAGGCAGTGTTGCTCCACCAATGCCCACACCACCCCCTTCTGGGCAACAATTATTTCCTGGCACGTCACAGCCTCTTTCTGAGCATGGAACCTGAGAGGTATCCCAGCTTCTGATTTCCTTCCCAAGGAGCCTCCTTCTCAGGGATCTGCAACTGACATCCCAGGAGACACAGACATGGCTCTGGTCCTTTAGGGGCAGGTGACATCAACTTAGCTCTGACATCAAGTTAGGATTGAATGGCAGAGCCTTACCTTTCACAGGGTCACTCTTCTTCCTTCTTCTCCAGCCCCTATGTGCATTTGACACTGAGAAACAAGAAAGAAAAAAAGAGAGGCTGGGCTCAATTCTCTCTCACTCCTCCTTGTAGGCAAGCTGCAGATGTTCATTATTCATGAATAATGATATTCTATATTGAATTAGTGGATCTGTGTACTTATTCCTTTTATTCATTTCTAAAGTGAGTACAAATATTTTTTGTTTTCCTTCTGTAAGAAACACAAAGAGGGATTTTCTCAGTGAGATCCACCACAGATGCCACTGTCCCTCTGCTCAAGATCACAGACCCAGCCCTCCAAGTTCCTTTCTGCTGCCAAGTTGATGTCTGCCTCCTTTGGCCTCTGATGGGAGGCTCTCAGGCTCAATATAGTCCTTAGACCATACCAATACAGAGACAAGTCGTGCCTGCAGGCAGCTGCCACGAAAAGGGCACTGATGAACCAGCGCTTAGAGCCTGGGCTTCCCCATAAGTCCCCAAGTCTTTGAGCAATCCAGTCTTTGGCCACTGAGTCACAGTGTTTGATTTTGTCCTGACACCTGAAGCACACCACACAGATGATCTGAGAACTCAGATAGACTAACTAGTGCTCACTGTCACCCCTGTCCTGACCTGCCAGGGCCTAAGGGAAGGTTGTCTTGTTCTCTCCTGAGATTTCTCTTTTGGACAGTCTCTCGACTTGATTTGGAAAAGTGGAAATAACAGTAGAGAACCATTTTTTGTGGGTTTCTTACCTTCCTCTGAGTTTTCTTTTTCCCAGGTGGTGATAGTGGTGGGGATGGATTAGCCTGGAGGTAGGGCAGTAACAGGAGGAAGAGGCCCAGTCCGCACACAAAGGCAAGGACTACATCCGTTGCCCAGGTGGTGGACCTGGGGCTCAGCCATGTGCACTAACACTTTTCAGGAAAAAGAGGACTCTTCATTTGATCACACTGTTGCTGTCAGTCAACTGAGCTCTGGGAGTTTCCTTTGGGACTAGGCAGAGGGCCCAGGCCTGCATCACAGAGCTGTGACATCCTCATCACAAAGGGCTCCTGGGAGGAGGTGGTACCATAGGAAGAACAGGCTGCATGACAGCCCCTCCTCCAGCCTCCAGCTTAGCACATCCTCCATCCTCCTGGGCCTTCTAGATTCTTACTTCCAACTCTTCAATCTGTCAGAGGTAGACCTTAGTCCATTTCTAACTTAGATATTATCTGATTGCTCTTAACCATTTCAGATCTTGGCTTGAGGTGTACCTATTTTACAGCCCTTAAAAATCTGATGTTGACCTTGTTTTGGGCTATTCCCCAGGGATTTTACTGGCAGGATCTCCTTTGTCCTCATCATTAGACTCAAGTATAGCCCAGACCATACAGGAGAGTGTTGAGTCCTTTATGAACTTCATGATACCATTCTACAGGGGGATTCACGTGGTAAACTTGCCTTGATGCTTCATATGGTTTACAAATTACATGTAGCCCCTGCTTGTGGGTATATGGCATTTTTATACAACTTTAATGGTAATGGGGGCATCTGTTTAGCAATAGAGTTATGAGTGGTCAGTTCATGAGAACATCTTACACATCCACTATTTCTTCTATTGGTCTACAGCATTTTCTCCAATCACCTGCTATATTTTCTCCATGATTTTTTATTTCCAGTATGTTCTCTTTGATCTTGGCTTTTTCACATTTAAAAAATCTTATCCTTACCTATGAGCTATTTAATTATTTCCTATTATGATTTACCACTGCCATTTTATGCTGTTTCCCATACTTTATTATTTCTTTTCCCCCTCTTTATTTGCACCTTCCACTTTACAGAATATTCTTGTTTAAACTTTAAATATTTTTAGTATGGTGGTTAGACAACTATTTATGTTAACTTTCCCAATTTCCCATATGTGACAATCTTATCATTATCCTAGGAAATCAAACAAGTTCTGTAGTCCCCTCTGGCCACCTCTGGCTCTGGTTTGTCCAAGAGGCTATTTTCTTACACTTTGAGTTGCTTTTTGATATGCTATGTTTTTATGTCATTGTTAGGTACAATAAATGTCCCTAACATCTTTTGTTTCCACAAGCCTAATACCTTGAGGTTTATTTTCCATCGTAATGGACTGTTCCCTCTAGGATAGTTTCAAGGGGGTTTATGCAACATAAAACTTTTGAACCCTGGTATTCTTGTCTTTTTCTATGTCCTCCTCTTTAAAAGATTTTGGTTACTCATACTTCAAGCATCGACATTTATTTCCTTTCAGCTGTTTAAAAATGTCATTTTATTGGATTCTTGTCTCTAACATTGCTTTAGAAAGCTCGATGTCAATTGAAATCATGTTTCCATTAAGGATGATCTGGTTTTTCGTCATTTTGACAGAATGTTCAAAAACTAAGAAGTCTTCCATGTTGTAATAGTAAATCACTATGGACTACAAACAACTACAATATTAATGCAATATGAAGAATTAAAGCCTTCTTGAGACATGGTAGTGCATAGGAAAATTGACTAGATTGGACTTAATCAGGAAAATGAAGAAGAAATTTAATGAAAGAGATGGACGCTAGATGTAAGTCTGCTTAAACTAGGCGTGTAATGCCAGCTGCTGGAAGCAGATGTAGCAAGCTTTCTGTCCTAAATTAATCATGAATCTAGGAGAACAACAATTTGAATTTTGGTGATGTGCTTGAAAGGTTTTTTTTATTTTTATTTTTGATGGTACTGGGGGTTGAACTCAGAGAGCCTTGCACTTGCTAGGCAGGCGCTCTATCACTGGAGCCCACATCCTCAACCTTTTTGCCTTTAGATATTATGAGATAGGTTCTTGCTCCATGCCTGGGCTGGCCTGGACTGTGATTCTCCTATTTGTGCTTTCAGGCAAGGCTAGGATGACAGGCACATACCATCATACCTACAGATGGGTTGAGTTGGGGTCTTGAAACTTTTGGCCCAGGCTGGCTTAGAACTGTGATCCTCCCAATTTCCATCTCCTAAATTGCTAGGATTACAGGTGTGAGTTACTGTCCCTGGCATGTTTCTTCCCAGTTATTTAAAATAAAGGTTAATAAAACTGGAAAAAAAAAACAATGCACTAGAAACGTATAAAATTTGAGGACAAAGTGGGACATGGTGGTGCACGTGTTTAAGGTGGCAAGAGGGTTGTGAATTTGAGGCCAGCCTGGGATACATAGGGAGATCCTGTCTTGATAAATAAACAAATAAAAAAATTTTAAAAAAGAAATGCAGGGAAATACTATGTTCTTGTAGATTTTAAATGCCTTCTTTTTTAGGTTGTACCCCCTTTCAGAAATGTGCTTCTAAAGTTGATGGTAGATAGTAAAATAAAGACATGATTTGAATCAGTTAATGTAGAGAAAGACCATCAATTCATATTCTTGATTCTTAGAACCTGGATTCATTTTGGAGGCTTAGGTATATTAACTTTAGGTTTCATTACCATCTTACAAATCAAATCGTGCCATTTGCACCTGTGGCTAAAGAAAATAGACATTACCATGATGCTGTCAATTCATTTGAGATCCCACCATCAGAATTAGCCTATGGACAGGGCACACAAGAATTTATTATGATTAAAAATGACAATATAAACATGGAATTGTATTTCACAAAAGTTGAAAGCCATGATAGAGGGAGTGCAGGAAGGAAGGGAAGTCAAACCTACTGATGGTGTTCAAATTGTATAGACGGAATTTTATTTAAGCATAGTATTAAATATCATATGTATTTATTTAAAGAAAGCAAAACAAGAAAAAGAAAGCAATCCAAATTATGGATTAAGAACAAAATGTATTTTAGAAGCAGAAAGTGTGGAAAATAAGCTATTACTTTAGCATTCTCAAATCAATAAGTATTACTTAAATTGAAAAAAAATAGGTAGTTACACAGCATTATTTAGAGCTCAAAGGAATAGTATTTACTGAAAACAGAAACTAGTAAACATTTCTTACTTCTGAAGATCAGGACCAAGCTATGTGGAAGGAACAAAAGAGAGTTGGGTTTTTTTTTTTTCTCGTTTTTCCCATCTAACTGTTTGAAGGATTTTCCTATGCATGTTGCTTTCATGTTAAAAATTTACTTGAAGTTAGATCTCTTTGGAATAGTTCAAAATGGCATTTATGGCATTTATGTATAAAATTTAGTTTCATTCGTAGAAAGTAATTGAATCATCTAATGTGTCATGACACTTGCAATTAGACATTATTCAATTATAATTTTTGCAAGGATATAAACACACCCATACAAACAGCCAGATCATGGCATTTGGATTTCTGTTTTGTAGAATCTTAACATTGTTTTGATTTACATTTCCTTTATGGCCAGAGATGTTGAGGATTTCTTCATGTGCTTTTGGCCATATGGACATCTTCCTTTGAAAAAGCTCTGT